AGAGGGAAGGGAAGGGAAGAGGGAAGGGAAAAGGGAAGGGAAAAGGGAAGGAATGGGGAAAAGGGGAAAGGGGGAGGAAAGGGAAGGAAAGGGGAAATGGAAAGGGAGTATCTGTACCTAAAGAACCCCCAAAGGACCTCTGTGCCAGAAACCATAGTTACTTTATGTGAATTCCTGTATTCTTCTTACCATCAGCCTTATCAGGACTGGGAATTTAAAGAATGTGCAATGAAGTTAGGTAGCCAAAATCCACATAGGGTGTAGATAAATGTACATCTTCTCAGTAAATGCTTCTTAATGCTGAAGAGCTCTGTGCGGGTTTCTCTCAGTTAGGAGCAAGACTGCATGTCCAGCATATCAGATGCACCATAGTATGGCATTCAGGTCTCAAGTTCTGCTAAAAAAGGAAAGATATGCAGAATATATGGTAGTTAGATTAAATTTTCTGTTTGTCTCTTTAGTCTTAAAGCTCATGCATATATTTTTGGGTTTGGGAATCAGACAACAAGCTATTTCTACCTTTGTGTGTTGCCCTACAGTCAGATGTTGCTTTTGCTTAAATTGCAGATGGAAAAGAAAATACAAGGAAACTTATCAAATTGGGAATGTTCATAGAATATCCACTCAAACATAATATAACTTTGTTTCTCTAAAAATTGCCTCTACGTGTTTGTGCATATAATTTGTTGAAGGCAATTATTGCATCATGTCATGCTGCAATATTATCCACAGTCTTGATCCAATCCAATATGTCCAACTTGACTTATGATGACAACTAGTCATCACTTTGGAATTAGGCTAGCTCCCAGGTTGAATTGCACTATAACACTAGTTTACCTATGTAAAAATAGAGTGAAAATGTCACCTTGCAGTTGACAGGATAGTGTGACAGCTAAGAAGACCCCATTTTTAATCTGAGCTGTACCGACCATTCAGTAAGAGACTCTAGCAATTCTGTCCTTTCACTTTGTAACTGTGTTGTCTTATCATAGATAAAACATTTAAAAACAATTCACATTTGTTTGCAGAGACTGTTACTATCTATCTTGCATCTTAAATTTACAAATATTGTTTAAAAATGAAAAGAGTGTGATCCGTGGACTGGATACTCTCCATTTAAGCCTATATAGAGCATGTAATGGTTTGAAATAGCACACTTCATCTTTTCAGTATCTAAATGTGCATTAGACCTTACTTACTTCCAACTATCTCACAGAAGTGCATGGACTTCCTTAGACTCTCTGGCTAATAAAGGAAATCGGAATAAAAACATGCTTGAAACATAAGACATATCCAGGACATATACTGTCATAAAAATGAATCATCACTTAAAATGAGGAAAAATTATTTCCAGCATTAACACTGCTCATGACAGCCTATTTTGGCAGCAAAAAAATTTCGCAAGATATATACTTTAAAACGCTGCACAACTCTGTTTTATATAGATCCTCCTCTCCCACCTAGTACTTGAGTGCCTTCCAGGAGCACATTAAGTAATATGACTAATGTATGTCTCATCTTCATTCTTTTACCTTGAGCTGAAATGTTACATTATTTTTCAAAAACTACCTGCAAGTTGATGAAATATCATCTTTGCAATGAACATAAAATTTTTACATCACTTGGAAGACCATGGAAAAATTCAACCTCTGCAGAAGCACACACAGTTTCTCCTGACATAACTGAACAAATAGCCAGCTGTGTCAGGACAGTTTTTATACATAAGCATTGCAAAGCAGACTCCTTTCTTGATATGTGGAAGTTTTGCAGACTAAAAAAGTATGCAATCATTCACAGTAGCATTAATTTTTCTGGATGGGAGTTGATTGAGAATTTCACTGATTAGTACAACATGGGAGATCTCTGTCTGGAACTAAAAAGGTGTCCAATTCTGTAGTTGTTGATTTATTATTATGATCCTGCATAGGGTTACTGATGCAGATAGCTCTCTTAAACTAACTTTCTTTTTTATCAGAGTGTATGGAAGGTCTAACTTTTTAATGGCATAATTTACCTTAAGCAGCAGCTCTCAAAGACTAGAGATCTGTAAGAAGACTAAAAATTAAATAAATGTATAGCTATTTAGAGTACATTAACTTTCATACAGAATTAGTATGTATGGTGTCACATTTGGAATAGCATGAAGTTTTAGCTTGTAGAGTTACTGATAATGTTTGTACCACAGTGTAAATAAAGATTGTGACCAGCATGGACCACATGGTGCTAGATGCTGCACAAGCAGAGGATAATTGTCTACCCATCTTGGTTGGCTTCCAACAAGCTAACTGGGAAATTAATAAATAATATCCCTAAACAAAGAAAGAGTGGGCTGACAATCTCAGACAAGGAATGTTAGCAAACTCAGTTAAACTTTGCTGTGACTGACTTATGCAATGGCATGATCTTTTAATATAAATAGTGGGATTCACAGTATAGCTAGGGATTGTGAGGAGCCATCATGTGAACTGCTTATAGCATCCTCCCAGCATATACAGCCTTTTTTGAGAGAGAAGACAAGGGGCCCTGATTCACTGTTTTCGTGACTATCTTTCCCACTTGTCATTCAGTTGCACTTCTGTGAAATCCCAGATCCAAACTTAAATCAAAGTTTAATTTAAGCCCCAGGTTCTCTGCCAACTTTTTGCCTTCCAGACTGTGTGACTAGAGAGCTACATGTATTCAGCAGTGCAGCTTGCGTTATTTCTACAAGACGAAATGCTGCATGCATGAAGTAGTAATCAGAGTGATCCAGATGTCAAAGATACCGCCACATCAGGCTTAACAGTGAAAAACAGCTTTGTTTCACTTTTCCCTTAAACAGAAGACTGAGGGTTGTAGATGTCTGATTATTCTATTAGGCAACAAAATTTTGATGGGGGGAGGGGTGTTTCTTTAATTTTGTTGTTGTTTTGTTTTTATTCTTTTCCTACATAAACTATTTAGCAAAAGCCTCTCCTTTTCCAAATGGAATTTATTCCTTATGAAGAGCCATGGTTTTAATGACAGTTTAGACATTCATATATTTATTAAACTGTATTTTCCCTTTAATAAGTACTTTGATGTAGCTGGTATGTTCTCAATGTTCTGTGTATATATTTTCATAATAACCCCTTTCCAGTTATCTGAGAGACCAAAGACTGCAACTCTGCACAACTTCTGCCAAAAATAACAGTTTCTTTTCTTACTGTGTCCTGGTAGACTGGCAGTGTTTGGTGGATTCTGATTTTAGCAGATCACAGTTGCAAATCCTCAAATTTAATGTGGCTTTTTTTCTTATGTAGTCTTAAATTCCATCCTGTCTTTATCATGCAATGGTTCTGCAGTAGGGCACTGTGTTAAAAGAGTATTCACATTGTATCATTAGCCAAGACTGTAAGGAGTCATCACATCCCTGCAGTTAGCACACACAGATGTGTCTATGGGCAATGACCACAAATTTAGCATCTGGTATCCCAGAGTTGATGTGTGAAGAGTCCTGCATCACTGCAAACCATTTAATTGCAGTAAATATTAGTATTTTGCCAAAGGTTTTGTCCCCTCTACCTTTCTGTCTGCAATGCCCCATTTACAGGCCACAGAAGTTATAGAGTTCTGGGATGGGATCTTCTGAAAAGCAGGAGACACTATGCCCACTTTGGTCAGCTGTGTTTAAAGAGCTGTTGTATACACTCAGTGATTTTTTTGAACTGAATCTGAACAGAAGAGATGATTACATATTTCCAGTGTATCCCCTGGGCTTGGTTTCCAAGAAGAATAATTTCCACCAGGCAAAATCTAAGAGTAGGTTTTGGTTTGGGCCTGGGTAGATAAAAGGTACAGAAACAGTAGTCTGAAATCTTTTCAAAAAAACTTTACGTTCTGCTCTTCCAAAATAAACAACTAGCACAAACTGAAGTTAGTAGACTGGTTGTGATATGATTGGGTGGAGCGTTTAAGCACTGTTTTTCAGTAGAGTAAAAAATTACTGAAAATACTAACATTTTCTTAGCATTACCTAGACCTGTAACACTTTTAAGAAAAATTCTTCTAATTTCCTTTCAGGTCTCTTTCAAGTTCTCTTCAAGAATATTTGCAAATAAATATTCAGATTTATTTCTGTGGTTTTCTTCTACATTGTAAAAAATTTAATCAAAGCAGAACTTCTAAAATCATTAAAATTTCAGTTAAATCATCATAGTAATGACTTTACTTTTAGTTTAGAACATTTGTATACTGGCTATGGAGGATGCGGTCAGAAAACCTTCTGTACCTTACTGTTACATCTGTTAACACCTGGTTTTTTTTTCCCTGCAGAGTTTTTCCGAGAACTTCTGGAGAATGCAGAAAGATCCTTAAATGACATGTTTGTCCGGACATACGGCATGCTGTACATGCAGAACTCTGAGGTGTTCCAGGATCTCTTCACAGAGCTGAAGCGGTATTACACGGGAGGCAATGTGAACTTGGAGGAAATGCTGAATGATTTCTGGGCTCGGCTGCTGGAGCGGATGTTCCAGCTCATAAACCCCCAGTACCACTTCAGTGAGGACTACCTGGAGTGTGTCAGCAAGTACACAGACCAGCTCAAGCCATTTGGAGATGTACCCAGGAAGCTGAAGGTTCAAGTGACTAGAGCGTTCATTGCCGCACGGACCTTTGTTCAGGGGCTGACAGTAGGCAGAGAGGTTGCGAACAGAGTATCCAAGGTAATCTAAAATCAGGGGTTTTTTTTAAGCTTGAATTTGTTCTTAACTTCCCAGACAACTGAAATCTGGTTGTGTGCTTTTTTTTTTTTTTTTTTTCCCAATACAGTATGAGGCGGTATGTCTGGTTGTTTTTTATGTTCACCAGTACACCCATCCCAAGCTTATAAATAGAGGCAACAGTTGTTTTTAATTCCTTCTGGGGATATTAATGCAATACTGACTGACTCAAAAGCATTTCTTTGTGCTTAAGACACAATGAAATACAAATATAGATCAATGTCTTAGCATGGTAGTGATTGTCATTTGTAATTCAAAACTGGCTACATATGTAAAAGATGAGGATTATGATCAGAATTTAAATGTTTCAAGCGAATTTATGCTGCTGTTCATTAGGACAGTACAGCTCTCACAGCATTCATTCATCATGCAGCTGGGTGATGGATTTTGGTAGAAATGTCTAGTCATGTTTCTGATGAGAAAATAGACAAATAGTGACACCTCTGGAGCTTGAGCTTTCCCAGAGGATGGTTTGACTCACATTTATTTTAGTTTTGATTATTTATCTATGCAAATATTTGTGATGATTATAATCCTTGAGGGCTTCACATAATTAAAGCTATGTAAGAAGAAAACACACACAAAAATAACCCATCTGGGTACCACAAATATGCCTGAATTACTTTTTCTTGTACAGTATTTCAAACTCAAGTATATTTTTCTTAAATGCAATTACAACTGCATACTTATTTTGTGATTTTGCTATTTCACACTCCTGATTGTGTATTTGGACCTTGAATTCTGAAATGGTCTAGTGAGATCCACTGTGACATGCTCAAACACTCACTTTTGAACAATAAGTGCATGAATGATTTTGGTGGTTGGCCCATCCAATATTTTACCTCGAGCAGACTGTCTCATTTGCTTCATTTAAGTCACAGCCAGAAGGTAAGGTAGAGACAATATATTGTACGGTAGACTTCAGTTCAAGCACTCAAGAAGATGAGGCTTTCTATACTTTTCTTAACCTGTATTATGTGATATTTTGCAATTACAAATTGAGAAGCCATGGAGCCAGAGAAGGGCTCCATATCGTGAAGGGAGAGCCTGATTTTATGCCTCGGAGATTGCACTGAAGAAAAAAGGTCATTTTGCACTTAAAATTTGATGAGTGAAATATGTGATCCTGGTTAGTCAGCTAGAACCAAAATCTCTTCCTCCCAGGTGCATTCCTGGGCTATGGTGTTGTCTTCCTTTGCTTTCCGGCACTGCCAGTTCTTGCCGTCCTTTCTGAATAGCGGCAGAACATCAGCATGAAATCCCAGACTGCCTAGTCTGGCTGGGGGCAGATACAGCTTTTTAGCCTCCGAGGGTTCAGAATCTGCAGCCCCAGATTAGCTCTGAAGAACGATGATGTCCCCATGTGTCACATTTAAGTGAAAGTGCTGAACTCTGATGTCTCTGTTGTCAACAGGCACTGAGTCTTGCTGCATTAACTGCATCAGATTGTAGTGAGTAATTCATGTAATATATGTATAATTTGAGAATCCCTCACAGATTAAGGTCTGAACTGTCTGCTGAGGTGTCACTTTCCCTGTGTATGTACATGACTGTACAGAATGTGCAGATGCCTACTCTCTCACACATTCAGGAAATGTTTTCATCTCGGCCTCTGGGTTTTGGCTACATAAGCTCTTTCAAGAACAGGATTTATCACAAGATCACTAAGTGATCCTATGATCCTATAATGAGAACTACTAGCTCTGCAATCATAAAGTGGGCTTTTTGTAGTGTCACTTGAAGATGATAACAATAGCTCAATAACGCTTCTGGTTTTTTTAACATGAAAGCAAGACTTGAAATAATCTTTAAAAGGGCTCAGTAGTTTGGTGCAGGATGCACATAGTGACACTCTATTAGACTGCATCTAGAATACTGTGTTCAGTTTTTGGCCCTTCCTGTAAAAGAAAGACATTGACAAACTGAAGTGAGTTCAGTGAAGGTGACCAGCATGATCTGGACTGGATTATTTGTCCTGTGAGGAGAGGCTGCGGGACTGGGGCTTATTCATCCTGCAGAAGACAGTGCTTTGAGGGCACTTAGCAGTAGCTCCTGGACTGGTAGGGAGGTCATTAAAGAAATGCTGCAAAGTTCTTCACAGTGAGCCTGTCTTCATAGGGGAGGTACTCCAGCCCTCCGACCATCTTTGTGGCCCTCCTCTGGACTCAGTACAACAGGTCTACATCTTTCCTATGCTGGGGATTCCAGAGATGGGTGAAGTGGTCCAGATGGGGTCTCATGAGAGCAGCATACAGGGGCAGAATCACTTCCCTTGACCTGCTAGTCATGTTTCTTTAGGATCATTATCCTGTGATCCTATCAGAAGATTAATGAAATGAATATTTTTTATTAAACATAGAATATACTTTGATTGCAAGACTAATTTTTGTGTAAAAATCTCAGTGTCTGTATTCATTCCCAGAGCAAATCATAAACAATCGCTGGGTTTGGGACTTTGTGTTACATGCAGCCTGGTGAGGCAGATATGAAGAATCATAAGTGGCACCAAATGTTCAAGATTAATAATTATCCTGTGAAGAGGCTGTGATTATTCTGAGAACAAAGTTTTTGTGTTCATATTATAACTGTGATTTTCATGTGGGTTATCTACTATAGAAAATGACAAATCCTTTTCTTTAATTTTAAAAGACTACAACCATTTCTTGGAGTTAGAATATGACTTTGCAACCAAAAATGAGACAAGTAAACATCTTTTGTTGCTGTTTTGGGAGTCATCCAGATTAGCATGGATTTCATTCTCATTGTACTCTAATATTGAGAGATTCTGTGATAAGGATGCCACATCTGGGTAAGTCAAGAGAAACGAATAAAAGAGAAAATTAAAAGTGTAACTGTTGCAGTTCTTTTACAGAATCCTTTGTCCGTTGTCAGCACGGGTTGGGAACACAGGGGGATCTTCTAGCTGCAACATCACAAGCTTAAAAGATTTTTCCTTTCTATTTGTGGAGCCATTATCTCACTGAACTGCCACTGACATAGAAAAATGTTGAGCCTACACCTTAAACACCATGAGGAAGAGATTCGCTGATGAGAAAGTTGATAGCAACATATCTTTTGGGCCTTTAATTTACTTTCTCATTGTCTTCTGGACCACTTCTATGGAGGAGTTGGTGGTTCACATGTGCAGAAGGATATTTTTCCCTCTCTAATGTCAGGGACACATCCTTTTTAAAGATTTCTCTTCAGAGAGGGTAAAATGTCTGGAAACACTGCAGTCAGTGTATTCTTTGTGAAGGAGCTACACTCCCCTCTTTTTCAAATTAAATATGCACTCAAGCACACTAAAAGTAGGCAACATGTATAGCAAACATTTTCCTCTTACAGTATTGTTTTGCAATTTTGTAATTTTCTTGTCAGTGACATTATAATTTCACAAGTCCCATTTGGATAAATGAGGAAGGATTGTGCTTAGGACATCTTATTTTCATATATTTTTTTCCATTGTATTTCAATTGTAAGCAGACACAGTTGCTTCTGTCTACTTGAAGTTTTATTACGCCATTTTAGTTGAACAGTATTTTTATAATCTCAAAGTCCAATTACAGTTCTTAATTTTCAGAGATTTTAAAATTTTTTTTATTTCTCATTCTAATGCATTAAAAATGTGTCAGTGTTACTTTGCCATGCCGCTTAAATCTCCACTCAATGCGTTATATTTCCACTGTCGTGAATAGACCGGGTCAGTCAATTCTATATATGCTTTAGAAAGCTGCATAGGCAAATAACCTAAAAAGTAATTATAGTATTTCTTAAAGTGATAAATTTAATTCTTAAAATAAGTGTATTTATTTATTAACATAGAAGAAGGCTAGAATGTCTCAAGTAGGAAGGGAGGCATAAAAATCATCGAGTCCAACTCCCTGCCACTCACAAGTCTGCCTAAACTAAACCGTATGACTGAAACCATCATCCAGACATTTCTTGAACTCTGACAGGCTTCATTCCATGACCTCTTCCCTGGAGAGACTGTTTCAGTGACCAAGCATGCTCTCGGTGAAGAAACTTTCTGTAATGTCCAATCTGAACTTGCCCTGATGCAGCTTCAATATATATGTAGTATTCAATATACAGCATTGGAATTGCCTTTTTGGGTACATCAAAGGTACATCAGTTGATTTTGCCTTAATGCGTAGTAGTTTAAAGGTCAGCACAGGAGCAGAGCTTCTCAACGAGCATGTTTTCTTAAGCTGTCGGTAGGAGATGTTTAGGGACTTTTTGAACTACCGGATCAGAAACTGGAAAAATTTTCTACCGCCTATTTTTCCAGTAGTTTGTCAGATTCTAAAAACCTGGCTTTTCTTCCTTGTTACCATTTGGTAGGGGAAAAAAAAGAAAGTGTGCTATCCCTTTCTTTTGCTCTGTAAAAATAGAACATATTAAAATGTTGCTTGTTTTTAATTTATTCAATTTTTCTTATTTTTTTTTTCTGGATAAAAGAAATAAGTAAAAAAAACAAACAAACAAAACCAAAACAAAACCAAACCAAAAAAAAACCAAAACACCAAGCCAGCTGTAATTTAGTATTTAATTTTAAACTAGAGAAACTACTGAAAATATTTCTGAAGTTGCTGCTATCTGTGATTAGCAGTAATGTGATAGAAAAGATGTATGCATACTTTTCATGTTCATCTCTTACTATGTCTGAACTCTGGATACTTTGTAAGAAAATAATGCTAAGTTATTCTTTCTGACTCCAAACAAAGTATTCTCAGTAATCATAATACTCTCTTTGAACTGTCACTGAGTTCCAAGGGGAGAATGTAAGCAAAAAAACATGTGGGGAGAATAAAGGAATTAAAATTTTTAAATTGAAGGGTCTGTGTGATTTTCCAGACTATATGATTACTGAAATACTTTCACCCAAATATATTAATAGCTGAGTTACAACAATTTTAAAGCTAATTGTATTGGGATGTTTGGTT